TTACAAAAGAGTTACAAGGGTGAGAATAGGGCCCCTTAAAGATCAACGAGGCTGTCTATGTGTGGAACTACAGGACATGGGTGAGATATTAAACAAATATTTTGCCTCAGTGTTAATTGCGGAAAGAAACATGGAAGTCCAGGGAAATAAACAGTGATGTCTTGAAAAGAGTCCACATTACAGAAGAGGAGGTGTTGGAGGTTGTAAAATGCATAAAGGTAGATAAATCCACAGGGCCTAATCAGGTATATGCCAGAACATTGTAGGAAGTGCTTGCTGGGCCCCTTGCAGAGATATTTGTATTGTTGACAGCCACGGGTGAACTGCCGGAAGACTTGAGGATGGCTAATGTTGTGTCAATGTTTAAGAAAAGTTGCAAGGAAAAATCAGGGAACTATAGATCAGCGAGTCTTACGTCAGTGGTGGGTGAGTTGTTGAAAGATTCTGAGAGATAGGATTTACATACATTTGGAAAGACAAGGACTGATTAGGAATAGTCAGCATGGCTTTGTGAGTGGGAAATGGTGTCTCACAAATTTGATTGAGTCTTTTGAAGAGGTTACCAAGAAGACAGATGAAGGCAGAATGGTAGACGTTGTCTACATGGACTTTTGCAAGGCCTTTGACAAGGTCCTGCATGGTAGACTGGTTAGTAAGGTTAGATTATATGGGATCCAGGGAGAGCTAGCCAATTGGATACAATTGGCTTGATGGTAGGAAACAGAGAATGGTGGTAGAGGGTTGTTATTTGGACTGGAGGTCTGTGACCAGGGGTGTGCTGCAAGAATTGGTTCTGGGCCCACTTTTATTTGTCATTTATATTAATGATTCGGATGAGAATATTGGAGGTATGCTTAGTAAGTTTGTGGATGACACCAAAATTGATGGTATAGTGCACAGTGAAAAAGGTTATCTAAGAGTACAAAGAGATCTTGATCAGATGGGCCAATTGGCTGAGAAGTGGCAGATGGAGTTTAATTTGGCCCTGGGGAGTGTTACTGAACAGAGGGATCTAAGGTTGCAGATTCATTGTTCCTGGAAAGTGGAGTTGCAGGTAGAAAGGGTGGTTAAGAAGGCATTGAGCATGCTTGGCTTCATTGGTCAGAACATTGAGTATAGGAGTTGGAATGTCATGTTGTGGCTGTACAGGACATTGGTGAGGACATTTTTAGAATACTGCATTCAATTATGGTTACACTGCTATAGGAAGGATGTTGTGAAACTAGAAAAGGATGCCAAAAAAATTTGCAAGGATTCTTCTGGGACTGGAGCGTTTGTGTTATAAAGAAAGGCTGGATAGGCTGGGGCTTTCTTCCCCTGGAGCATTGGAGATGAGAGGTGACTTTATAGAGGTTTATAAAATCTTGACAGGCATGGTAAGGTGAATATCCAAGGTCTTTATCCAAGAGTAGGGGAATCCAAAACTAGACAGCATAGATTTAAGGTGACGGGGAAAGATCTAAAAGGGACCTGAGGTGCAACTTTCTCAAACAGAAGGTGGCGCGTGTATGAAATGAGCTGCCAGATGATGTGGTTGAGGTGGCTACAATTACAACATTTAAAAGACATTTGGACAGATACATAAATAGGAAAGGTTTAGAGGAATATGGGCCAAATACAAACATGTGGGACTAGTTAAGTTTGGGATACCTTGTCAACATGGATGATTTGGACTAAATGATCTGTATGATGCCATGACTCTTCCCAGGCCCTTCAGTTCTCCAATCTCCTTCTCCAGATTCTTTCACTGTTCACAGAAGGTACTGGGCGATTGGTACACTAATCATTAAGTCTCTTACATGCTGGTTAAAGTCAACAGCTAATAGCAACTTTCCTCCCAATGGGCATTGTGGGTCAACCTACAGCGTGTGACCTGTAGGGGTGAAAGAAGGCAGCTCACCAATACCTTCTCAAGAGCAACTAGGGACAGGCAATGAATTCTGGCCAGCCAGCGATGCCTATGTTCCCTGAATGAAAAAAAAACTGCTGGGAGAAAACAACTAACTTTCTTCCAGTTTTAGTTACTTTTACTGCAGAGAGATAGACACAGAAGCTTCTCCTTCAGAAGTCCAGAGGCTTCTTTTCTTGGTCATAAAAAACAAACTGTTCACATGCCCGGGAGCCAATTACAGCACTGTTACCGAGCTAATGACTTGCAATAACCACAAACTGGTCACATTTGCACGAATCAATCAGCAATTCATTGCCGGACAAATGCTACTTTATGCATATATCATGCTTCCATGGCATCTTATTTCTCTTCTCTCACTGCTTCAATGATGTAGCAGTGTAAACACAACTTACAATGAGTTCTAATTTTCTGAAGAAGGGTCTAGGCCCGAAACGTCAGCCTTCCTGCTCTTCTGATGCTGCTTGGCCTGCTGTGTTCATTCAGCTCTACACCTTGTTATCTCATGAGTTCTAATAACGTGTTTTAAAACTGCAGCAATTCCTTTCACAGTCATCAGTTTTAAAACAGTCCTTTTGCCCATTTTAATTCATATTCAAAACTAAAGATAAACAAAAATAGATGGTCTTTATATACCATTATAAGAGATGAAACACCATTTTATACATGTTTCATCACTAATTATGTGATACACAAACAAGAAAGTAAAAAACTTATATCCATTCATTCTTTCTCTTAGGTATACTTACACAATCTTTCTGTATTTCTTAGATCTTGAACTTAACTCTCAGTTTACATTGTGTAACCACATTATCTTTTCCAGTAAAATGCAAAATCTTTAATTAAATAGTTGAAACAAGTGACTCCATGCGAATCGTTTCATGTTTCATATTTTAATGAATGCCAGTGGATTAAGGGCCATGTAGATTAAAAACTCTTTGCTACCATGTCAAGCAAGACATCAATGTGTTGAAGAGATGATAATATTCCCAAATTCTAATTTTCTACAGTACAGTACTTGTTCTGATACTGATTTAGTTTCTTTGAAAAGTACCCCACTGGCTTCTCTACTTCCAATTCATCATTCTATTACAAGACTGCACGTACCTCCAGGTCACGAGCACCAACGTCCATTTTAAATGTGATCAACAATGGTTCATTTATTTAGATTGGGTTCAGCTTCTCAAAGTTGCCAAGTTGCATGCCATTCTGCTGACCATACCTCTTTTGCTTGCCTATTTAACAAATACATTTGTTAAAGAAATAGCGATTGTGCTGAAATTATGCAAAATTTTTTTGTAAAACCCACACATTCTTAAAAATCTCATGGTTTCTTATTTTGTTTTAGGAACAGTAAATTCCATTAGAGTTTTCAGTTTTTTTGGAAGTGGGTACAAGTTTGTTTCCGTGACTGTATTTGCCTTTCTGTCGTCTACATGGAATGATCATAGATCAATCCCATTTAGGAACCAACAGTAATGGTGAACTTTAGCTGTTTTGACTAGGTTCAACCATGTGATTTTCCAGCATGTATTGGATTTCTGTTTTTTACCTGAACTTGTTTATTTGGGTTGAACGGATAAGGGCACTGTTTTATTGGTACTGACTGTCTAGCATCATACCTAGCTAATGCAGTACATCCAAGCATATCTGTCCAGATTATCATGCAATCCTCCTATTGTCCTTCCTTTAAATAGAAGAATAGCCTAACTGTCCCAGAATTTCTAGAATTGTAGGAAGTTGGCTTTAAAAACTATCCATTTCTCTTTCCGCCTCATGCTCATTATTTCAATCATCTTCCATTACTCTTATCACCTGACATACTTACTCATCTTTATCCTGTTCCCTGCGATAGTACCATTTCAACATGTTAATGTGACATTACAGATTTATCTTCCAGGATTATCTGTCAGCTAAGTGAACCTCCTAACAATCTTGTATGTATCACTGAATTTTGCTTTCAGAGGGAACAATACCATTACGTCTTCTCCCACTTGAAATGCTCCAATTGTACGATGTTTGTCAGCCCGTTCTTTAACTTGTGTATGTAAAACCTTTGAGTCTTTTTAAAAATATGGACAATGTTGAGAATTTGTCCTTTTGTATTCAAGAACTTTTACCTAATCAATTTTAATTGTCCTCTAGTCTCATAGCCATAAATCAATTCCCAAGTATTGAACCCAGTGGATTCATTTGGGGAATATCTGGTGACATAATTTAAAATAATTTTTTACCCATTTTAGTTCGCAAAAATAAAGTAAAATAAAAATATATCATTTTAGTGTCTTAAATTTTCTTTTATAAATATAAATTATATTAGCAGGTGCTCTGTTATCTGTTTTTCAAGCTATCAGATTTTGTGTGCTATTAATGAATTCGTACGCTTAACATAAAGGGACAATGGTACTGCCTTGTGTTCAGGTTGTGGTTTGATAGTGCTGAGTGAGAAATAGGCCACCAAAAAGTACAGCAAATCTCATGATCCAGGGCTGAACCATGGCTTGGGGAATTTAGAAGACAGGTCAGGCATTCTTTTTGTTATTGACTCCATTACAAAACAGATAGAAATGTTCTAAACTGTCGTTCTTTGTGGGATAGGGTGGAAAGAGACTGATAATGCCAGATTTAAATAAAGGTAAACCCCAGACTTGCTAAATTGTGAGAGCTGATGAGTCACCAGGATTACTGCCTGACGAGTTGAATATGCGTGATACATTTAAAAATGTTAACATATGGCTAACTACCTTTAAACATAAAAACAAAACAAAAAACTGCAGGTACTGGAGATCTGAAACACACAAAAACATAAATTAACCTATAATCCACAGGATAAAAAGAAACTACAATATTTTAAACAAGTATTAATTTCAGTGAGACAAGGGAGCATGTTGTACATTTGGTTTTATTATAACCTATAAAACAGCTAATGTGATCATGGAGTAAGCAAATATTCAACTTCTCATTCAATACCATGAGCACAAAAAAATCAAATGCCCCCAGAAATTGGTTACTTATATAAAGAAAGGTATAATAAATACAGGACTTAAAAAAAGACTAACTGCAAATCCTTCCAAAAATAAATACAAGAAACTTCAGCTTTTACCCAAGATTTATTTTGAATAATTAGCCTTGTAGAAACAAGCAACCAATCCAAATGATTGTACAGAAAAGAAATCCTTGTACTGTAAAATGACACAGAAGGATAACATGTTGGTTTGAACACATTGATCATTCAGTCTTGACCACTCAATTATCCCAGATTGGAAAGACATTGGAAATGCTAGCAATTAAAATATTCAACTGCAGCCAAACATACAATATATACAGAACATCCATTCATGGCTACTTTTTTCATGTCTCTGTAAAAGTTCTCTAGTCTATCTGTAGTTCAACAGCAAACCAGTAATACAATACACATTACTATCTACAATATACTGTTGCAATTTAAGCATGACATAAAAGCACAACTGGTTGATAATTGCATGCAAATCAATATAGAACTGTCAAAAAACTGACAATTATGAAAAGCAGAATTTCAAGAGTCCAGAGACAAGAACTATTGAAATAGGGTTTGTTAAGTGGAAAACATGAAGGCACTTGGAGAATACCGGACCAGATTTTTTTTTAATAAAGAGGACAGTTTGGTTTTAATCAGTGGCTTCTGCCATCACTGAGTGTTGTCATTCACAGCATACTGGTAGCTAAATGCTCTAACAATATTGAATCTAATAGAATAAGCGATCTTAACAAAAATAGTTTACAACAGATATTAGACATGACAAGTGAGTTAAGCAACATAATTTTAAAAGCAGCAATGCATAGCCTTTCTTTCAAATATTTTATAACCGTGGACACAGCGTGATGCCCTTTTATACACTATTACAGTATAATTCTGGCAAATAAATCACAATCTGTCAACCACTGCCACTGTTTGGATATTTAGGTAAAATATCTGGCATGGAACTGATTATTTCATACAATAGGTCATTTATGGCAAAAATAAATTTGAAGACATTATCTTTCTTTAATCATCCAGCTGTCTCACTGGCCTTCATTCAAGCAACAATTGTTCAGAAAGCTCTCTGAGCACTTTCCCTACAATGTCTGAAACATCAGCACAGCATTCACAGCTCCTTTCAAATATATTTATGTCTTCTCCCTCTTTCATTATCTCAAATTCCCACAACTGAACACACGCTTTCATAACATATTTGGCAACTTTATTTTAACTCCAATGAGAGTAAACCTGTAAATGATCACTTCAAATTAAAAGCCATTAAAGGTCTTTCCTCCCGTTTCTGCCAAGGGCTTTTTTTATCCTCGTCTTGGTCTTCAGTGCTGTCAGTGTCATCATTCTCATTGATTTGATCATTGTCATTAATACGGTCATTTTCATTATTCATTATCTTTTCATCAGTTTCAGCAGTCTCTGTGTGTCGTGGACTAGTTGGAAGACACTCCTCAAGTTCTTCAATTCGCTGGATGTTTTCATTCTGTAATCCTAATGTTGTGCGACTATCTCTTTCAGCTGACCCGTCCATTAGTGGTTTCATCGAGGTGTCCTCTGGGCTACAGACAGCGGTACCACTTTCACTACCGCTCTGTTCCATGTCATCCACATACACCAGCCTAGTGTACGTCATACTGCCAGAAAGATTCTGTTCTCTTGCTTCTTTTCCCTTTCGGGAAGGTTTTGGTTCATTCATGTCCACGCCAGAATCCAAACTTGCATCGTTGCTCCCATTTTTGCCAGCTTTCTGCAAGTCAATGTAAGAATGCCTAACCTGGGCATTTGCACGGCCATCTAAGGACACAAACCAAGCTCTGGGGTGAGGGAGAGGCTTTCCTCCTGTTATTTCTAGCAGTGCTTTTTCTGCAAAGAGTTGGACTTCACTATTCATCTGAGCCATTGCTGCTTCGCTTAGTGATGCTGGGATGGATACAGATTCTGACATGGTGGATGACTGGGGACTCCAGTCTCCACCTTCTGTTTCCTGAAGTTGCTGCTGTGATAAAGTTTGTGGTGTCACTTGCTGTTGTTGTTGAGAATGAGGATGCATCTGTTGGTGAGAAATAGAAAGCTCTGCTTGTAATCTTTCAAACTCCAGCTGTTGTTCTGCAGGGGCAGTTAAAGGCTGCCCCATGGACTGATATTCCATGGGCAATTTCATATAATGGGCAGGAATAACTAACGTAGGTAGTACTTTTCTATAAACATTGTCATTCACTTCATCTGCTGAACTGCAACAGAGCAACTGGCCTGGCTGTGGAAAAGAGGTTGGTCTTTCAAGATGGTCAACTGACCGGGACATCATGTAATCAGTTGCCTTTCTGTCCACTTTTTGTGCTTTGTCAGGAACATATGATAGTTGATAGTCTGGCTCTTGGATACTACTTTTACTGTCTGTGGAAAGAAGTCTTATTGAAGCCTGAACTTCTTTATCTCGTTTATCCAGTAGTGGCTGGGAAACAACGGAATTGTAGCTCTTTCTATAGTCTTCTCTCGCAGGAGGTTCAAAATCTTCAGTAACATCAATGGATCTTGCCATTTTGAGGTGATAGTTTCGAGGAGGAGATTGACAATATTCCTCCTTTAAGGTCTCTCTTAAAGATGGGTCTTTGTGTGAAATTAATTCTTCTCTAGAACTGAATTCTCGTGAAGTACTGTATGAGGGCTTCAGCATTGGTGTATGTACATCTGCCTCTCCATTGGATGATACCAATTCCATGTGGACTGCACTGATTAAGTTGAGGTGAGACATGGATGTTGCTTGGTCTTTCTTAGAACTGTCTAGTGCAGAGGACAGCTGAATTTTTCTATGGTGCTGACGGGGCTTTAAACATTTTCTCCTGTAAAAAAATTGATCGGGGTGGAAAGAAAGAATATTTCAGATTGTATTGAAATAAATCACTTCATATAATTAATGAATTTCCAGTTAAACTTGATATCTTTTAAGAATAAACCAAATGCATCAAAATTTTTCAAGAAACATCTACCTGGCAATTTAAAAAGCAACTTCTTGAGTCTTGTATTTTATTTATGCAATTGCCTTTGTAATGAATAAACTATATACTAATGACTGAACGATAATGAATGAACATACACTTAAATAAAGCTTTTCTTTTGACAGTATACACTCAATGGAATGAAGGGCCTCTTCTGTACTGTATGATTCTATGAAAACACATTGCCCTAGTTTCTCCAATCTGCATTTTATTCTTCCCAGTCAACTGATGCTTTCTTGACAGCATTGTTGAGACTGCAAATTCAAAGGAGAATCGCTGCAGGGAGTAATTTTCTACCTCACTGGAGTACACATATTAGACAAAACATATTAACATAACTCTAAATTATACTAGAAAAATTAAAAATCTTTCATATAGCTCTGGTTGTAAACAGTTTAAAAAAACACTAATAATAAGAAAAATCATGCAAGACATAGTGCGCAGTCCATCAGAAAATAAGATTTAAAATTCTGTGGTTGTTAAAAGATCCCATCCTTTGGAAGTGGACTATTTTGATGTGCTCTGTTTTGTTCTAAGAAACATGTTCCTTTGAAAAGTTACCTGCAATAATAGATGAGTAAACAAAGCAGGACCAGCAGAATGACAGTCATTCCTCCAAGAATGGCCAACAGGAAGGCTGTATGATAGACAGTGATGTCACTGGCTCCAACAGAACCCATATTACCTAAAATATGCAAGTTATATTATATCAAATAACTTATTTTGGTTAAAATAAATAATTTAGCAAATATCACTGGAATCATTTTATAAAGGAGATGGGATCCCTTTGTACTGCATAACATTAAAACAGGTGAAATACTACTCATTCTATGTCAAATACTTAGAATTGTCAAAGTACAGTAATACCTACACTTATCAGGCACCTTCAGTTTCAATATTGGTAAATATCAATAACAGTACTGCAGTGTTCTAGTCCATGACTTCCAAACTCTACCATTCATGGTGACCCTGAAACGTTGCTACTATTCTCCTGAATTATTTACCTGGGCTTTGAGGGGACATAGCTGCAACCCAGTAACCCAACTGTGGAGCGAAGTATGTCCAAGTGAGATAGTCGCCTTCTCTTTGTACAAGGCCCAATCCACTCTTCAGCCAAGCACCTTAAGAAACAGCAATCAAAAAGGAAACTTTGATTCAAATCATAGTCATATATTATCGAAAAATAATTGACCTCATTAAATTAATATTGGAAAATTGGCACCCTCGTAAAGAACCACATCCAATTTCCTCGTATAAACTTACTTGTAAGTAAACTAAGAGAAATCAAAGTAAATGATACTGGAGTTGAGAAGGTAAATGGAAAAATGGTATTTTGAAAATGTGCCTTCTCAGCAGTTTTTTTCTCCAGTTCTGGATATTGGCATTATAATCCTAGCAAAGTTCAGCTTATCTCAAATCAGTAAGTATTAGCAAATTACTATCTATTTTGTAATTGCAGTAAGCATTTGATATAGATTATTTTTCATCACTTGCACTTACAGATTCCAATTGTTTAGAAATGTTTGATTTGTGCAAGGTCCTCATCAATCACTAGAGGGCATATATGCGTAGTACATAACATGATATAAAGAACAAAATGTATTGTTAATATTTCTTCACAATTAAGGACAACTACCAAATTAAGGTAGTTGCTCAACCATTTGATCGATATGCAAAACCAGATGACATTCTCACGTGAGCACAGGGTGCATGGTTGACAGATACAGTTAGCAAGACAAACCAACCCTGACAAAGAATGCCTTGCAAGCTTTCTTCCCAGAACTTAAAGAAAAAGGTACAGCTATCTACTGATAAAATCAGCTCTCAGTTACACATTCAGCAGACTTGTATAAGATTAATCCCAGCAAAGCCAAAGCTTAGAAATCAGACTGCAAAATAAACTGCGGTTCAAGAAGGCAACTTACTCAATGGCAACTGGGGTTGGGCAATACATTCTGGTCCAGCCAGTGGTCTGGTCCACAGATAAATAGCTTTAAAAAATTATCAGTGCAATATATAGCATTGCCACATGAATAAGTGTGACGTTTCTCAATGAATTTATCTGTAATGTTGTGTATGCAATATCTTAAAATGGAACACATGAAAGCCCATAGATGGGAGTGTTTAGAATAGTAATGAGATTCTGATCAGTTTGTCAGGAATATATAACTTCTATATTAAGTATACTCAAAGATAGAGCTTCCACTTATCTCTGAGGAATAGAATTCCAAAGATTCACAATTCTGCAAGTAAGAAAGAAATTCTCATCTTTTGGTCCTAAGCGACATCTCCCTTATTTAATTTGATTTATTATTGTCACATGTACCTAGGTACAGTGAAAAGTTTTATTTTACATGCAGTACAGGCAGATCAAAACATACAAAAATCATGGGGTGATTGAAGGGCGAGGAATACATAGTAACGGCTGCAAAGAAGGTGCGCAAGGTGAGGTGAACATCAGATTTGACATTTGAAAGGTCCATTCAGAAGTCTAATAACAGCAGAAAGAAGCTGTTCTTGAAGCTGTTGGTACATGTGTTTAACCTTTTGAATCTTCTGCCTGATGGAAGAGGTTGGAAGAGATTATAACCGGAGTGGGAGGGGACTTTGATGATGTTGGCTGCCTTTCCGAGGCATCAAGGAGTATAGATGGAGTCAATGGATGGGATGTTGGCTTGTGTGATGGTCTGGGTAGTGTTCACAACTTACTGCAGTTTCTTACAGTTCTGAGCAGAGCTGTTGCCATACCAATCCGTGATGAATCCAGATAGTATGTTTTCTATGGTGCATCTATAAACATTGGTGAGAGTCCTTATGGGCACGTCAAATTTCCTTCTTGACCGTCACATCAATTTTGGTGGTCCAGGACAGATTTTTGGTGATTGTCACTCCTAGAAACTTCATGCTCTTGATCTTCTCCACTTCAGCTCCATTGATGTAGATAGGGGCGTGCCCTCTTATTTTCATCGTGTGGTTTTAGACACCCGAACCAGTGGGAACATCTGACCTGCATCTAGACTGTCTATTCCTTTAAGTCCTTTGTCGGTTTCAATTAGATCATTTCTCATTCTGCAGGATGTAGACAATACACGCACAATACAATACATTGCATAATCTCTCTCCATTGGACAGTCCTGCCATCCTAGGAACAAGTCTGATAAAACTTTGTTGCACTCCCTCTAAGGCAATATTACCTTTCCTGAGATGAGGGGACCAAACTGCACACAGTAGTCGAAGTGTGGTCTGACCAAGTTCCTATGCAATTGAAGGAAGTCTTCACAGCTCCTTCACTCAAATCCCTGTGCCATGAAGGCAAACATTCCATTACCTTTCCTTATAGCTTGCTGCACCTGCGTGTTAGCCTTCAATGACTGATTGACAAGGACAGACAAGTTCTTTCACACATCTAATATTCCAAAGTCTCATCATTTAGAACATAGAACAGTACAGCACAGGAACAGGCCCTTAAACCCACCATGTCTGTGCTGACCATTATGCCAGTCTAAACTAATCCCATGTGCCTGCACATTGTCCATATCCCTCTATTCCCTGTCTTTTGACCTCTCTGTTTAAAAGCCTCTTAAATATTGCTATCATCTCTGCTTTTACCACCACCCCTGGTAGCACGTTCCAGGCACCTACCACCCTTTGTGTAAAAAGACTTCCCTCACATACATCCTTTAAACTTTTCCCCTCTCACCTTAAACCTATGCCCCCAGTATTTGATTACTAGGCTACTAAAAGATTATAACTATCCACCCTATCCATGCCTCTCATGATTTTATATACTTCAATCAGGTAGCCCCTCAGCCTCTGATGCTCTAGTGAAAACAATCCAACCTCTCCTTATAACTGATACACTCCAATCTAGACAACACCCTGGTAAACCTCTTCTGCACTCTCTCCAAAGCGTCCATATCTTTCCTTGAGTATAGTTACTAGAACTGCACACAATACTCTAAATGTGGCCTAACTAAAGCTTTATACAGTTGCAACATGACTTGCCAACTATTATAGTGAATGCCCTGACTGATGAAAATGAGGATGCCATGTGCCTTCTTTCTCACTTTATCTACTTGTGTTGCCACTTTCAGGGAGCTACGGACTTAGACCCCAAGATCTCTCTGTACATCAATGCTCCTAAGGGTCCTGCCATTTCCTGTATTCTTTCCTCTTGCATTCGATCTCCCAAAATACAGCAACTCACACATTTGTGGATTAAACTCAATCTGCATTTCTCCGCCCAACTTTCCAACTGGTCTATATCCTAGTGTATCCTTTGATAAACTTCCTCACTATCTACAACTCCACCAATTCCTGTATCATCTACAGACTTACTACTCAGACTTATAATCAGACTATTTACATTTTCATCAAAGTCACTAGTAACATTACAAACAACAGAGGTAATAGTACTGATCACTGCAGAACATCACTGGTCACAAACTTTTAGTCAGGAAAACACTGCTCCACAATTACTATCTGTCTTCTCTGACCAAGCTAATTTTGTATCCAACTAACCAATTCACCATGGAACCCATGTGATGTAATCTTCTGGGCACCTACCATAAGGGACCTTGTCAAATGCTTTAGTAAAGTCCATGTAGACAACATCCACTGTCTTACCCTCAATCATCTTCATCACCTTCCCAAAATCTCGAAGTTTGTGAGACAAGGCCTCTCCCACACAAAGCCATGCTGACTTTTTTTTCTTTATTTATTCATTTATGGGATGAGGGTGTTGCTGGCTAGGCAGCATTTATTACCCATCCATAATTGCTCAGAGGGTAGGCTGGAGTCACATTTTAGGCCAGACCAGGTAAGGGTGACAGTTTCCTTCCCCAAAGGACATTAGTGAACCAGATGGGTTTTTCCAACAATCGACAATGGATTCACAGTCATCATTAGACTCTTAATTTCAGATATTTTATTGAATTCAAATCCACCATCTGCCGTGGAGGGAATTGAACCTGGCTCCTCAGAACGTTGTCTGGGTCTCTGGATTAACAGTCCAGCGATGATACCACTCGGCCATCACCTCCCCATCTATCCCTAATAAGTCCTTCTTCAAATGTGAGTAAATCTTGTCCCTAAGAATTTTCTCCAATAATTTCCCTACCACTGAAGTAAAGCTCACCAGCCTAAAATTTCCTGGATTATTCCTTTTGCACTTATTACATAAAGGAACAACGTTGGCTATTCTCCAGTCTTCTTGGGACCTTGCCTGTGGCTAAAGAGCATACAAAGATCTCTGTCAAGGCCCCAGCAATTTGTTCCCATGCCTCCTTCAGTATCCTGAGATAGATCCTATCAGGTCCGGGGGACATATCTACCTTAATGTTTTCCAAGACACCCAAAACCTCCTCTTTTTAATACTGACATGCACCAGAATATTAACAAACCCCCTTCTAATCTGACCATCATCTATATCCTTCTTCTCAGTGAATACCAATGCAAAGTACTCATTTAGGACCTCACCAACTTCCTCTGGTTCCATGCAGAAATTTCCTCCTTTTTCCTTGAGGGGACCTACTCTTTTCATGGCTACCCTCTTCCTCCTCAAATACATATAAAATGCCTTGGGCTTAATCCTACTTACCAAGAATATTTCAATGCTCCTTCTAGCCCTCCTAATTTCTTGCTTAAGTTCTTTTCTGCTTCCTTTGTACTCCTCAAGGGCCTTGTTTGATTTCATCATCATAGAATCCTTAGAGTGTGGAAACAGGCCCTTTGGCCCAACAAGTCCACACTGAACCTCAGAGCATCCCACCCAGACCCATCCTCCTGTAACCCACCTAATCTACACATCCCTGAACACTACGGGCAATTTAGCATGGCCAATCCACCTAGCCTACACATCTTTGGACTGTGGGAGGAAACCAGAGCAACTGGAAGAAACCCACGCAGACACGGGGAGAACGTGCAAACTCCACACAGACAGTCGACCGAGGGTGGAATTGAACCCAGGTCCCTGGAGCTGTGAGGCAGCAGTGCTAACCACTGAGCCACCATGTCTCCCAGATTTCAGTTTACTAAACATTATGTATGCTTCCTTTTTATTTTTAACTAACATTTTAATATCTCTTGTCATCCAAGGTTCCTGAAACTTGCCATCCTTACC